TTGTATCTGGGAGTTTGATTCATGAGAGTCAGGGTGATCCATGGGCTGGTGTGTCCACATATTAAGTACCTCATGGGGGCTAAAGTTCCTCCACGATCCTCTGAAGCTTTAGCCACAAGTGGACCCAGTTTTTCTGTATCACCATGAGGCAGCAGATGATTTGCAAATAGAGAGGCTCTGTGCTCACATATATGCCTGTCTTTTCATATTTCTGCTAACCCACAGTGAATGCTGAAAGGGGGGCATAGGAGGCCAGAATTAACGGAGCACAGTTATCTCAGATGGTTATGGACCTCATGGAGATTACGGAGATGTGTGTTGGGGGAGGAGAGCTGGACTCAATATGGGTCAATGAGCATAGAGGGAAATTTCTGCTCATGCAACCAGATAAGCAGCTGAATAATTTAGCATCAATGGAGAAGGTGAGAGCTGAGGTGGAACTAACTATAGTGAAAAGTAATGCTGTGCTTTCAGATGGCATTGCAAAAGGGTAACATTAGGTGAGAAATAGAAGGGGATTGAGGATAGAACCTCGTGTGACACCAGAAGTAATCGCGTGGGAGGTGACTGTTTACTAACAATGGGTGGTTTGTGTTTGCACCACCAGGTCAAGTACAGCATGAGGTTAGATTAAGGTCACTCTGCTCTTTTAAACTGAAAGCAAAACTCCCTCTATTTATTTAAAGTGGAAGTAAAGCCTCCTCCATACTGTCCCCATCCGACACTCCCAGGATAGATGCAATACGAGGTTAGATGCAGAGTAAAACTTCTTCTACTCTTCTAAATTGAGTGTAAAGCCCTCTCTACTTATTTAGACTGAACATAAAGCTCACTCCACCCCAATCCTTGCAGTGCCCATTGGTCTCTACAAGTCTGTATTGTGCCGATGAGCACTACGTGCTCCCTGTCCAGGGAAGCATGAACACAGATGTAACCGTGAAAGAGGGGCAGTTAGGAAACAACAAGCCTCTCCACAGATCGTTGTCTGGACCTGTCAGTGGCCACCTTGGCCAGGCCAGGAGTACACCAGCAAGAAAGCCCTCTGATTTGACTACCCCTCCCTGCACAGTGTGCCCCTAGATCAGGAGTGTGGGGCTGAAGGGCTAATCTATTTATCAGTGGTCAAGGACAGACCTCTGTTGAGTCTTAACAAGAAGAAATACTCATCTTAAATAAGGTGTCATTTATTGTATGATAGCAATAGGTACAATTAACATTAGCCATTAATCAGTTAGGCATAATTACAATTATGAGGAGTCAGCTATGTCATGTCAGTCTCCACTGGGATCTTGTTCAAGACTAACTGTTTCTCCACCCAAAAACTGTGACAGATTATCACACTGGGAGGAGATAATGCAACTTGAACTAATTCATTTTGGAATCATTACTGTACACAACATCCCCCAACCTTTTATTCCTCCATGATTAATGACTATACATTGACATTCATAACTACTTTTATGTTTATGACTACCCCACTTTCCCTTAGTCTCTAACTTCACAAAAGTAGGCAATATGGGAGTTGCACAAGTCTTCCCAAATGCATTCCCTCCTGACTTGGAAAATTAGTAACTATTTGGCTTGAGGACTGTTGACCTTGATTCTGATTTTCTGTAAATCATTTACATGCTGGAGGATCTTCTATCTGATAGAGTCATGGAGCTGTACAGCATGGAAATGGATCCTTCAGTCCGACTCATTCATGCCTACCACATATCCTAAATTACACTAATCCCATTTGCCAGTATTTGGCCCATATCCCTTTAAACCCTTCCAATTCATGTACCCATCCAGATGCCTTTTAAAATGTTGTAATTGTACCAGCCTCCACCACTTCCTCTGGCAGCTCATTCCATACACGCACCATGTCTGCATGAAAAAGTTGCCCCTTAGGTCCCCTTTTAAATCTTTCCCCTCTCACCTTAAACCTATGTCCTCCAGTTTTGGACTTCCACAGGTAAATGACCTTGGCTACTCACCCTATCCATGTCCCTCATGATTTTATAAACTTCTTTAAGATCACCCACACAGTCTCTGACACTCAAGGGAAAATAGCCTCAACCTATTCAGCCTCCCCCTATACTCAAACCCTCCAACCCTGGTAACATCCTTGTAAATCTTTTCTGAACCCTCTCAAGCTTCACAATATCCTTTCTAAAGCAGGGAGACGAGAATTGAACGCAGTATTCCAAAAGTGGCCTAACCAATAGTTGTACAGCCGCAACATGACTTCCCAGCTCCTACACTCAGTGCGCTGACCAATGAAGGCAAGCATGCCAAATGCCTTCTACATTCTCCTGTCTTTCAAAGAACTATGAACCTGCACTCCAAGGTTCTTTTGTTCAGCAACATTCCCCAGGACCTTACCATTAAGTGTGTAAATCCTGCCCTGATTTGCCTTACCAAAATGCAACACCTCACATTTATCTAAACTAAACTCCATCTGCCAATTCTTAGTTCACCAGCCCATCTGATCGAGGTCACATTGTACTTTGATGTAACCTTCTTGGCTGTCCACTACACCACCTGTTTTGGTGTCATCTTCAAACTTACTAACCATACCTCCCATGTTCACATCCAAATCATTTGTGTAAATGACAAAAAGCAGCACCGATCCTTGTAGTACATCGCTTGTCACAGGCCTCCAGTCTGAAATGCAACTCTCCACCACCACCCTCTGTCTCCTTTGAGTCAGTTCTGTATCCAAATGGCTAGTTCTCTTTGTATTCCATATGATCTAACCTTGTTAACCAGTCTACCATGCAGAACCTTATCGAACGTCTTAATGAAGTCCATATAGATCATGTCCACCACTTTGCCTTCATTATTCTTTGTTACTTCTCCAAAAAATTCAAGTTAATGAGACCGATTTCCCACACATATCCCTAATCTGTCCTTGCCTTTCCAAATACATGTAAATTCTGTCCCTCAGATCCCCTCCAACAACTTGCCCACTACTGATGTCAGGCTCACCAGTCTATACTTACCTGGCCTTTCCTTACCACCTTTCTTAAATAGTGTCACCATGTTAGCCAACCTCCAGTCTTTTGGCACCTCACCTGTGGCTATCAAAGATACAAATATCTCAGCAAAGGGCCCAGCAATCACTTCCCTAGCTTCCCACAGAGGTCTAAGGTACACCTGATCAGGTCCCAAGAATTTATCCACCTTTATGCATATTAAGACCCCCTCCAATGCCAGCACATCTTTCCTTACAAAACAAGGCCGAAAACTACTCACAATATTCCAAATGTAGTCTGACCATAGTTTTACCCAACATTAGCAGTATATCTCTGCTCTTGTACTCTAGCTCTCTTGAAATGAATGCTAAGATTGCATTTGCCTCCCTAACTGCCAAGTGAACCTGCATGTTAACCTTAAAAGAATCCTAAACTAGGGCTAAGCTCCTTTGTGCTTCAGATTTCCAAAATGTTTCCCCATTTAAAAAATAGCCTACACCTCTATTTTTCCAAGAAAACTGCATAATCTTGCACTTTTCCACACTGTATTCCATCTGCCACTTCTTTGCCACTTCTGGTCTGTCTAAGTCCTTCAGCGGCCTCCCTGCTTCGTCAACACTACCTGTCTATCCACCTATCTTTGTCATCTGCAAACTTAGCAACATTGCCCTCAGTTCCTTCACCCACATCCTTAATATATAATGTGAATAGTTGTGATCCTAATACTGACCCTTGTGGAACTCACTGGCTGCCATCTTGAAAAAGACTCCATTATCCCCACTCTCTGCTTCTACCAGTCAGCCAAGTCTCTATCCATGCCAGTACTTTGCTCTTATCTTATTTAGCAGCCTCCTATGTGGTACTTTGTCAAAAACCTTCTGGAAATCCAAACAGATCACAAGCCTTGTCTAACTTGCTCATTACCTGCTCAAAGAATTCGATCAGATGTATCAGGCATGACATTCCCCTGAGAAAGCTGTACTGAATCAACCCTATTTTACCATACACTTCCAAGTACACTGCATTTTCATCCTTAATAATAGACTCTAAAATCTAAACAACGACCGAGGTCAGGCTAATGAGCTTATAGTTTCCTGTCTTCTGCCTCCCTCCCTTCTTAAACAGGGGTGTTCCATTAGACATTTTCCAGTCTATGGGACTGTCCCTGATTCCTGAAAGATCGCCACCAATGCCTCCACAATCTTCTCGCTATCTCCTTCAGAACTCTGGGGTGAAGTCCATCTGGTCCTGGTTATTTATCCACCTTCAGAATTTTCAGCTTCCCCAGCATCTCTTCAGTGATGGCCACTACACTTACCTCTGTTCCTGACTCTCTAAATTCTGGTATGTTGTTGGTATCTTCCACCATTAAGGCTGATGCAAAGTACCTATTCAGTTCCTCTGCAATTTCTTTGTTCGCCATTACTACTTCCCTGGCTTCATTTTCCAGTGATCCAGTGTCCACTCTTGCCTCTCTCTTACCTTCCATATAATCTAAAAAAACTCTTGTAATCTTTTATGTTACTAACTAGCTTACCCTGATATTTCATCTTCCCCTTATTGCGTTTTAAGTTAACCTCTGCTGGTTTTTAAAAAAGCTTCCCAATCCTCCGGCTTCCTACTAATCTTCACTACATTGTATGCTTTTTCTTTGCTTCTTTGCTGTCCCTGACTTCCCTTATCAGCCCTAGTTGGCTCATCCACCCCTTAGCATGTTAGTTTTACCATTATAGGCTGTAACTTTTTTCTCATCAGCCATGGTATCAGACCTGATAAGATAGCAACACTTGTTTGAAGTTAAAACTAATTAGATATTCATTGACATACATAAATAGGTTAGGTTGTGTAATTTCTCCATGAAATCACTCTAGCATCTTTTCTAATGGAGGCATATTATCTATTGTACCATTTCTAACAGTGGTGGACACGTTAACCTGTGGCAGAGTGAGCATTTGGCTTTTTGCTGTTTTGAAATTGTATCCCATTTCTGCACATTTTCTTTCAAGATCAAATGGAGTTTAAATCCATACTGCTACTCACCATGTCATATCTTTTATATGTTAACCATCTGATGGCCTGTGGTTGGGGTAGTTCACTGCACCAATCTTCCTTTCTTATTGAGTATAAGGGCCTGCGTATTTATCAGTAGTGGAGGAAAGACTTCTGTTCTCTATAGTCCTGATAAGATTAGGCAATAATTACAATAATCAGAAACTAGGTATGTCACATCTGACTTCTTTGGGAATTTGTGCAAAACTAACTTTCTCTACTCAAAGACTTTGTAATAACATTAGATTGGGTGGAACTCATGCAACTTAAACATTAGCTCTCAAAACCAGTACCTCGTACAAGTACAATCTCTCCAGCACGTTAATATTCTCTTTAACTAACACCCTTCTCCTCTTCCTTTCCTACATTTGCTGGATGCCTTGCACTGCTACCTTTTTTGAGCCAAGTCTATTTATCACCAATATGTCACATGTGAGTACCTGAGCCTACAGCTCACGAACCTTGCTTATTATGGCTTGTGCCCTTGCAAACATGCAATGTAAAGCTAATTTAGACTTATTTGCATTGTCTTAGCTTGACTTCAGCTCATATCTTAATTTTTTCTTTCAATGCAATCTATCTCTTCCAATCATTTGCATAACTTGTTTTTCCATATTAAGGAAACATCCTGGTTATCTTTCCCTGTCAAGTTAGCAAACTGCTGCATGAGAATATACCAAATGACAGACAAATGTGTGAATGTACAGATGGTGCAGAAGGGAGGTTTTTACATTCCTGAGTCATTGGGACCAGTTTTGGGGGACGTATGACATACTGAAGCCAACAATTCGCACTTCTTCAGAGTCCTAGTTCATTATTACCACACCTCATCTTCCCTGTTATTGTCTCTAGATACCTGTCAGTATTCTCTATTGAATGTTCCTCTAAACATTTAATATTCTAAGGATACTTGTTTCCTTTCCTGGACAGTATTTTAACATATCCCTTAAACAGGACGTTTGATGAGATTAATAGTTGTTCATTTATGGAATTGCTGTACTTTTGCCTTATTTCTTTATGTTTCTATTTTGTACCTAGGTACCTTTGTACCTAAGATGGTGCCGTGAATGGCAACTTTATACAGTTTTCACCATACTCCTGTACTTGAGTACACGTGGCAATAAACCTAATTCTAATTCTTTTTTGATATTGTTACCTTCAAAAACAACCTGTGATCATTTAAGAACAACTATTTTTGACAGATATTTTTGTTTATTCGTTAGACAGAATTTACAGATGACTGGAGACTATTGTGTTCATGATTAGTGGTTTGAGATGTTTATACTGGGGCTCAATATTCACATACAGAGTAAAATACTGATCTCTCAGTTCCATGCGATGTAGCCTAGTAACCTCCAACCTCAATTGTTCCAGAGTTTTCGAGGAAGTGAAGTTCATCTCCTTTTCCCCTGTGTAATCTGGATCCTCTGGATAAAGTTCATCCCCAGGATACAAAATTGCATAGCCATCAGAAGCAAGGAGATGGATTGGAAGCCATCGCTCACAGCCTTCCAATGCCCGATGATGGCAAAACTGCTGCAGATCTTGGAAACGGGGTAATCGGCAAAGTCTGCTCAGTTCATACCATTGTGGGGGAGCGAAGTAAAATTTCCCCAAATTATAGCCTTCAATAAAATCAGATGGGGACATCCAGTTGTAAGAAACAGTTTCATGGCCATCTTGCATTGTGAAAGGAATCTCTTGCAAACAACAGATGAAGAATGCAGTATCAAAACGTTTTCTCTTCATGTACGTGGGGGTTAACCAATTACTCCATTCCTTCAATGCCCAAATATTTGGTATACAGTCCAGCTGTTTGCAAAGTTTTATAAAATTTGCTGCATTTTTCTGTACAAGCGGCTTCCAATTTGCAAGTTCTTTTTGATCGTACTGTGGAAGCTTTATGGCCCCTTGGCTGCTCAAACATGTTTCAGGGGTATTTGGCTTCACAAGTAGAATCCCTGATTCTTCAAAGGTTTCCCTAATAGCACAAATACGGAAAGCTACTTCTCCAGGGATTTCCGATCCGAGCTTTCTCCTGTCCATTGCAAGAATTGGAGGTCTCTTGGATGTTTGCTTGACTGTACCTAGTTTAAAGTTCGGTGGCTTGCAAAAGGGTTGAAACATCTGAATCCACTCACTGGAAAAATCAGACGGACTGACTGTACCTCCAGGGAACACCTGAGCATGAGGCATGAAACTGCTTTTTGCGCTCCGCCGTAACATAAGTACAGCATAATCAAAGACAGGCATCTCCAACCATGAGTGAATTACATCTGTCTCTTGTTTAGACACTGAATGTGGAGGCTGACAACCCTGTGTACTGGTGGAACCTTTATCCACAAAGCAATTTCGAATACCTGAAGTTAAGATGACAGTGGCTGCTTCTTTCCAATACTTTAAGTCTCGGTTCATCTTTGCTGCAAAAGGGTACAATCTATTAATTTATTAGTTGTTGCTGCACTGTACAGCTCTTACAGCTCATCAGCAACCCCAATGCCATCTTGCTCAAACCAGCCACCCCAGCAATTTCTAATACTGGGGGCTCAAATCTTCCCCAAAGAACTCTTAAAAACAGCAGATTTACTAGAAAGCTTGTAGACCTTGTTAAGCATAAAAAAACCCCAGCCCTACATAATATAAGATCCCCACCGAACACACTCCCCATAATGCCACCTGGTCAACTTTGCAAGATCCCCCAATCCCAACCAAAATAATACACAGTAATTGTGCTAGTGGAAATTTGATCACTGATCTGGATTTCAACTCCTGAAGAGGGCAATTAGGCAGTGCATTGGGTAAAATGAGGATTGTAAATCACCCTCTTTAATTCCATTCATGTTCTGCCATGTCACAATCTTTCTCACTTGATGTTGCTGCAACCTTATTACAATATTGCCTGGAGACCTAAAGAAAGAAGAACCACTAGTTTACCTGTTACAACAAAGTTACCAGGAACTGGATTATAGGCCAATCAAGGCCCAGGTAAATATTGACTTTTTTTAAAAAAAAAACTTGTTTCTTTGCGAACCACAAGGATAGGTCCTCTGGACTTCTAGAGAGGCCTTGGGTTTCATCATGCGATTCTTCCCAAATACCTCTCACCATCAATGAAAACATCCTCCTCAATCTAACCCACCACTCTGCTCCCACAAACCCTACTGCAATTCTTCAGGTAAACTCAAACCCCAAGCCACCACTCCTCACCCCCCACCCCCCGAACCGAGCTTCTTAAATCAGCCCACGACCCCCTTTGTCCTCAAACCCCATTCCTTCAACACCACATTCTTGTTTCCCTCTTCAATGCCCCCCATACTCTATGACAGCCAGCAGCCGTACTCCCGAGTGCCCAGCCCCTTACCACGACTTTACCATTTTCACTTGTAGGCCAGTTTAGGTTCACATTCCGAAAGCCTGTACACTGCTGAAATGTGGGATAACAAGGTGCAGAGCTGGATGAACACAGTAGGCCAAGCAGCATCATAGGAGCAGGAAGGCTGATGTTTCGGGCCTAGAGGTCTAGGCCTAGGTCTAGGTCTGCTGTGTTCATCCAGCTCTGCACCTTGTTATCTCAGATTCTCCAGCATCTGCAGTTCCTACTATCTCTGAAACATTGCTGAAATGTATTGGGGGAGGGGTGGCCGGGGCTTTCCTATCCCTGGATCGGGCGACAGCTTCGGGGTTTTATCTTACCGTGCCCACCCTTCCCTGTAGTTTGTATATAAAAAGCAGCGGGTGCAGTGTTGGAGTTATATACCCACCGGCTGAAGTATTGACACTGATTCTAACTCCTCGCCCGTTACGTGCGACACGTTTTGTTTCCGCTTCGTTACCGAGGTTGGTTCCGGATCACAGTTTCGTTAAGTTTCCGAAGCTGCTGACAACCTGTCTTCACCGGCTGTGCACAGATCCGGAACATGAGCAAAAACAACGCTCCAGCTCTGAGCTTGCACAGCCATTTACAAGGTTACCTCACCGAGTGCGCCTGCGCACGGTCCCAGGCACGACACTTCTGCGGCTCGTTCAAACTCTGCGTTGCCCATGTGCACAGCCAAGGCGTGACACTGACTCAGCAATTTGGGGAAACAGTAACTCATGCAGCGTCTGTGGACAAAAAGCAGAGTTAACATTTTGGGTCCAGTTGACCCCTCTTCAGAACCCAGGAATTTTGGGTTGGTGAGGTAGATATAAAGAATTTGTAGACACAATAAAAAATCTGCACATGCTGGAATCCAAGGTAGACAAACAGGAGGCTGGGAGAACACAGCAAGCCAGGTAACATATGGAGGAAAGGAGCAGTCAACGTTTCGGATATAACCCCTCTTCAGATACACCTGGCTTGCTGTGTTCTTCCAGTCTCCTGTTTGTCTACCTTGGATTCCAGCATGTGCAGTTTGTTATTGTTTATTCTTTTTTATTATTCTTTGCAGACAAAGCTGAGGCTGGAAGAACACAGCAAGCCAGGCAGCATCTGGAGGAAAGGAGCAGTCAACCTTTCGGGTATAACCCTTCTTCGGATGCTGCCTGGCTTGCTGTGTTCTTCCAGCTTTGTCTACAAAACTGAGGTGAGAGTAACAGCCTTTGACATCAAAGCCGCATTTGACCAAGTGTGGCATCAAGGAGCCCTAGCAAAATTGGAATCAATAGATATTGGGGAAAAAGCTCTCTGCAGCTTAGAGTCATACCCGGCACATAGAAAGAGGTCGTGGTTGTTGGAAGTCAGTCATGTCAGACCTAGCACATCTCTGCAGGAGTTCCTCAGGATAGTGTCCTCGGCCCAGCCATCTTCAGCTGCTTCATCAATGACATTCCTTCTATCATAAAGTCAGAGTGGGGATGTTCGCTGATAATTACACAGTGTTCAGCACTATTCACAACTTCTCTGATACTAAAGCAGTCCATGTTCAAATGAAACAAGATCTGGACAATATCCAGGCTTGGGCTGACAAGTGGCAAGTAACATGATTTAGATTTAGATTTTATTATCACGTGTACCGAAATACAGTGAAAATCTTTGTTTACGAGCAGTACAGACAAATCACGGCAAGCAAAGGATGTACAGATCAAAAAGACTTAGAGGCATACAGGTTACATTGCTGGGTTCGTTATTTGAGGCTAGAGTCCATTCAACAGTCTGATAGTGGGCGGAAAAAAAAGCTGGACTGTGCTATGCACACCACCTTCTGTAGTTTCCCACGGTCCAGGGCAGAGCAGTTGCCACACCAGGCTGTTTTGCACCCAGACAGTATGCTTTCGATGGTGCATCTGTAGAAGTTGATGAGGGACCTTATGAACATGCCAAATTTCCTGAGCTGAATGAGGAAGAAGAAGCGTTGTTGTGCTTTCTTAACTGTCACATTTACGTGGAAAGTCCAGGACAGTTATCATCACTCCAAGGAACTTGATGTTCTTCACTCTCTCAATCTCAGTTCCGTTGATGTAGATGGGGGGGGCGTGTTCTCCTACTTTCTTTCTGAAGTCGATTTCAGTTCTTTAGTTTTGCCAATGTTGAGAGACAGATTGTTTTCATTGTACCAACACAAATGCCAAGCTATGACCATCACCAAGAAGAGAATCTAACCACTGCCCCTTGACATTCAATGGTGTTACCATCACTGAATTCCCCCACTATCAACATGCAAGGGGGTACTATTGACCAGAAACTCAACTGGACTTGCCACATAAACACAGTGGCTACAAGAGCAGGTCAGAGGCTTGGAATACTGCGGTGAATATCTCACCTCCTGACTCCCAAAGCCTGTCCAATGTCTCCAAGGCACAAGTCAGGAATGCAATGGAATGCTCCCCACTTGCCTGGATGGGTGCAGCTCCAACAACACTCAAGAAGCTTGGTACCATCCAGAAAAAAAACAGTCCACTTGATTGGCACTATATCCGTTCGGTCCACCACTGATGCTCAGTAGCAGCAGTGTGTACGATCTACAAGACACACTACGGAAATTCACCAAAAATCCTCAGATAGCACCTTCCAAACCCACAAGCATTTCCATCTAGAAGGACAAAACAACAGATACCTGGGAGAATCATTACCTTCAAGTTCCCCTCCAAGCCACTCACTATCCTAACTTGGAAGTGTATTGCTGTTCCTTCATTGT